AACTAAGTCAATATAGTCTGCTGTGGGTTGCCCACACAATCCCCCACCTATAACTTGAAAATTATCAAGTGGTAACAACTATATATAAAACAGCAAGCAAGCAAGCTTTTAGATAAATTGCAAGTGAAACCATGAGCTCCATACACCATTTTCTTTTCCTATTCTTCCTATGCCTTTGGATTGCAGAATCTGCAGATCCATCGGGCCAGTTCTGTAACAACAGTACTAAAATAAGCAGTACCCAAATATCCAAAAACATAGATACCCTATTGCCCAAGTTAGTATCAGGCACGTCTCAATACGGGTTCATTAAAACCTCGTACGGTGAAGGCGAAGCGCAAGTCTACGGCCTGGCACAATGCAGAGGAGACGTGAGCAGCGAAGACTGCTCGACTTGCATCCACGATGCAGCAGACGAAATCCGTAAGCGATGTCCAAACCAATCTGACTCTAGAATTTGGTATGAATATTGCTTTTTGAGGTATAGTACACGGAATTTCTTCGGACAAGTCGATACAGGTTTTGGGATTTACTATTACAATGTTCAGAACGTGACAGATCCTGATCCTGATACATTTAATAAAGAATTAGGTGCCCTGATGGATAAGATTAGATCAGAGGCTGTTTTGCCAGCAAACAAAGGGCTTGGAAAAGGAAAGACTAAACTTACACCTTTTAATACACTTTACGCCTTGGTGCAATGCACAAGAGATCTATCAAAGCAAGGCTGTGCCGAGTGTCTTGCCATTGCCATAAGCAACTTTCCGACTTTTTGCAATGACAAGAAAGGGTGTCGAGTTTTATACAGCAGTTGCTATCTTAGATACGAACTTTATCCCTTCTACTTTCCTCTTGATTCACAGGACTCGACCTTACTTGGTGCCTCTAAGAATTATCATTCACACACAGTTTATAAACCTTAATATGTAATTCAAAGGTTTTCGAGTACTTCTGCGTGGATCAGATGTGGACTCTGGACTGCTTCCACAAATTATTTGTGTAATGTGTTTTTTATTTAAATAAAACTGGCGAGAACCCTATCCATGTATAAATACTATATGTATACGCGATTTTATAACGTGAGGTTTTTTTAAATAAAATTTATATGATTAAATAATGTAATATACTATATGGGCCTGTTTGAGCCATATTTGTTTCCTCATTTTAATAGAAAAATTGACCGTTAGCTCCAATAACCTATTGACAACCAACCTGCTAATTTATTGCACTTGTATGACATTTTGCTCTTCGCTTTTCCCATTTGCCCCTCTACTGTGTCTCAGAATAAAGGCAATTTTCACGTGAAGAGAAATATGTTTCGGCCCCAAAAACTTGAAAGACGAAAAAACAATATGACTAGGGCTGCACAAAAAAATCACGAAACCGCAAATCGAACGGAAACCGTTGAGTTGAAATTGTTGGTATAAGTCCACGTGGACCGGTGATTTTCTTTTCCTCAAACAAAACCGAACCGTTTCAAAATGGTTTGATTTAGGTTTTGATTTTCAAAAATCGCACAAAATTGAACCGAACAATTTTTAATTTTTTAATTAAAACATTAATTTTATTAACTTAAAATTTTTACAGTTTTTACTTTTCACAAAAAATACCGATTTAGCAATACAAATTACAACCAGCCAATTGAAATAATCATAAAAAGTAAATTTGTTTCATCATTATTGACTTATGATTTAATAAGTTCACAAATTTATCCCTCCTACTTTCCTCTTGATTCACAAGACTCGACCTTACTTGGTGCCTCTAAGAATTATCATTTACACATAGTTTATAAACCTTAATATGTAATTCATAGGTTTTCGAGTACTTCTGCTTGGATCAGATGTGGACACTGGACTGGACTGCTTCCACAAATTACTTGTGTATTGTGTTTTTTATTTGAATAAAACTGGCGAGAACACTATCCGTGTATAAATACTATATGTAACACGTTATACGCGATTTTATAACGTGAGTTTTTTTTTTAATTTATATAATTAAATAATGTAATAGACTATATAGTGTGATTTGTTATTTGTTATTTTATAATTTTTTCTGTTATTTGTTGGCAAAAACTATTCGCCAAAAACTTCTGGTAAATGGAGACATCATGGAGTCTGGTGGTGCAGAGGCTCAAATACTGATGTTTTAAATATCAAGCCCGGTTGGTTGATCCTTTCAAGGATTTTATTTTTCTATTGTTAACCTAGAACGTCTAGGACCAAGGTTACATATATGTTGTCAAATTAGTGATTAATAGATCAAAAGAAAGAAAATTTAGGAAGAAATAAAGAAAAAGAGATGAAGTGAGGTATGTCGTAACAAATTTTTTTAAGACAATTTATTCGATGCACTAGTGCCAACAGATTTCTCGAAAGTCGGTCTCCCAATATACAACGCTAAAGTTGGTATTGCACTATACGAACCTTATAATTGATCGAATGAAATTATTGACAATATTCTTCTTTAACAAAAAAAAAACTCGAACTTTAAATTACTCGAACATAATTTTATGTTTGAAAAAATAATTCAATCAAAATTTTATTTCAAAAGTAATTCTTGATTCTTGGAGGAGGAGACTTAGAAAATCAATTTATCTTTTGCAAATGATTTTTGGTATGGGATTTATGAAATAAATATATATTTTAACTGAAAAAATCCGTCTCCAATGCATCCTTTGTGACGTGAGAACACTAGTTGCTAGCCACATTGTAGGTGGAAATTATAATTGAGAAAAGTAGTGACTAATTAAAAGGTTGTAAAGAATTTTGTAGTCATGTAATTTTAAAGAATTTGTGTCTTGCTTTCCACATCCTTATTTCCTCCATTTGACATTCAAATTTTCTGCTTTTGTATTTTTTTTTTTATCTCATTTAACGTATAATTGAAAATTTTATTATGAAAACATGTAAGAAATACAGATCCCTTTATAAAAATAGTTATTTTTTGGATACTTGCCGAGAGGGCTGATCATGAGAACTATTTTTCTTTTTAAGAAAATAAAAATATATACGATCAGTTTGAATAAGGGATTTCATATGTACGACTGTGAGTTGTCATTAATCACATATCTATTTTATCATTCATGTATTATCTTTCTTGAAGGGGTTGGTGTGTGATTTTACCCTTGTGGCTTCCTTTAATCCGATAGAGGAAAAACCTTAGGGTTTGGGTGGATTGTGTGGGTCATACAGACGGGTATAAACCTAATTTTCTCTCAAGTTTGAGTCCAAAATATGAAAGACCTTCATCTTTGATGCCCGTGGTCTGAGTTCCGTTGATCGGCTGGAAACGGATTTTGTTTCTGTAATTTTGTAATAATAATTTTCTTGGTTGTTTTGTATATTTTTGGTTCATTACTTTGTGTAACAGTGGTATCAGAGCCTTCAACTGGCTCTTGTGGGTGAATTGAACCATGATCTTGCAATATTCGACAGATCTAGTAAATTTCTTGGAACTTTCTTTGTGATAAATCTGGCTTTTCTTGGTGAAAATTGCCTACAGTGATTGGATCTGTTCGATCTTGGGTATTGTGGACTCGTGCTTTGATGAAATTCGGGTGTGGTCATGTGAAACGACCACCACTATGGGTTAATTCTTCGAACCCTACTTTTACTACTCGATTTCTTGTTATCTGCCTTTACTGAATGATTGTTCTTGCATTTGGACCTGTGTAATTTGAGTTAAGCTACCTATACTTGTTCTGTTGAAGTAGTGCAGTGTACTTGTATAATGTTTTCTGATTCTTGCTGTGTTGGAATATTATAGTAAAATGGGTAACTGTTCTGTTCCTGTCTTGTATTAATACCTTCCTCATTTCGTATCAACAAAACCTCTACCCACCACCCAAGGCTTGACCTAAGATCTTGAGCCTCACGGAATCCTGGTAGGGCTGGGTAGTTGATTCTTTTTTTTTTTTTTAAAAAAAACTTTGTGTTGGATATTGTGTGTATGTTCAATTGTTCTTTCTGAACTTTCATATACTTTTTCTGCCTTGCCTGTAATATCAAGAATCTCTACTTCTTATTTGCCCGTTGTGATCAAATCAATATTGCTAAGTGTAACCTGTTTTGATCAATAAGATGACCACCACTAGTTTTGAACTTGGAGTCTTCAATGGAAAGGGGGATTTTCTTATATGGCAACAAAAAATGAGAGGGGTTTTAGTGCAACAGAAAGTTTCTAAGGCTATAACTGGAGAGTTTCCTAAAATAATGACACAAGAACAGAGAACTGAATCAGATGATTTAGCCTATACCTCAATTATTCTCCACCTATCTGACCAAGTGTTAAGAAAAGTAGGGAAATTAGAAAATGCTCAGGCCCTATGGGAGAAATTAGAGGAGCTGTACTTAGTGAAGTCTTTACCTAATAAGCTTTTCCTTCTAGAGAGGTTCTTTAGTTTTAAGATTGATCCAACCAAAGACTTGGATGATAATCTTGATACCTTTAATAAATTCGTACAAGCTATCACCAATGCTGGGGATGTAATTTCTTAAGAATATAAAGCAGTAATACTTCTTAATGCCATACCAGAGGCGTATAGGGATGTCAAATCTGCCATTAAGTATGGCAAAGATACTTTGACTCCTGAGGTTGTTATAAATTCCATAAGAAGTAAAGAATTGGAACTTAAAACTGAAAGACATGGGAAGGAAACTGAGAGTTTGTTCACGAGAGGAAGATAACCAAATAGGCAAAATAATAACCATCCAAATCAAAATCATTTAGGAAACAGTAACAGAAAAAAATTCAGGAGTAAATCAAGAAATAACAAGAAGTGCTATGGTTGTGGCAAACTTGGTCATTACCTAAAAGATTGCCATAACAAGAAAGTTGAATTTAAAGAAAAGAAAGTAGGTGAGGGGAACGTAGTTGAGCCTGCTGGGCCTAACACAGTTGATGTATATGTGGTGGCTCAGTAACCTGATCTGGAAGTAACAAATTATGCTCACAACAGATATGTCCATGAGTGGATTTTGGACTCAGGTTGTACCTTTCATATTACACATGAAAGGTCCTGGATTCAAGATTTTAGGAAGTTATGAGGTGGTGAAGTGGTGATGGGGAAAATATTACCTGCAAAGTTGAAGGTTTAGGTAATGTGACCCTAAAATTTGAAAATTGATACATATATACCCTAGAGAGATTAAGATATGTACCTGAACTTAAAAGAATCTGATCTCTATGGGAGAATTAGATGACCTAGGGATGTGTGGTAGGATTGGAGATGGGTTGATGAAAGTGATCATGGGATCTCTTGTCATCTTTAAGGGTGTAAAGAAAAATGGAATCTATGTAGTTAAAGCTGAAACAACTACTTGAAAATAATGCTGTTGTATCTAATACTGAATCTGATTCCACCCTAAAATGGCATAAAAGGCTTGCACATGTTGGTGAAAAAGACCTCACAATCCTATATAAAAGGGGGGCATTTGGTAAGGACCAAATATCAAAAATTTCCTTCTGTGAAAACTGTACTTTTGGTAAACATCACAGACTCCATTTTGATTCTAGAAAGCATAAAACTACCTCCCCATTGGAATATGTCCACTCTGATTTGTGGGGTCCAGCCTCCCCAACTACCCAAGGGGGAAATAAGTATTTCCTCTCAATAATAGATTACTTTTCAAGGAAAGTGTGGGTGTCTCTACTAAAACACAAATCTGAAACCTTTGAAAAGTTTAAGAACTGGAAAGTCCTTATTGAAAATCAAATGTCTACAAAGATCAAAATTTTGAGAATTGATAATGGACTTGAATTTTGCAACTCAGAATTTGATAAATTTTGTGAAAAAAATGGAATCCTAAGACACAAAATTGTCCCATATACACCCCAGCAAAATGGGGTGGCCGAGAAAATGAATAGGACTTTGTTGGATAAGGTTAGGTGTATGATGGTGGGATCTGGATTTTCTAAGGTGTTGTGGGGAGAGACTGTTGTGACGGCCACATATATAGTGAACAGAACCCCTTCTAGTGCTTTGGAAAGAAAAACACCTGAAGAGAAGTGGTCTGGGAAATCACTAGATTATTCCCACCTTAGAGTTTTTTGGTGTACAACTTACTGTCACCAAAATTT